AGGCGCTGGCTGCGGTCGAAACAATGGCTGCGGTCGGATTGTCCATCGAGGATCAATCGAGTGAGAGAGCTACGACCACATGCGCTAGGCTACTTTCGGCGCCCCGCAATTGACCCGCCAAACCCTGTCTGTTATTGTGTCTCAACCTTACCGTCAATCACCCTCACCTCATGCAGCACGCGCTCAGAATAAACTTCGAAGATAAACAAGTGCTTTGTATCACAATACGATCGCTCGAAATCTATAAGACACATTCATCCACAAGTATTATTAACAACGGTACCACAATCAGGCCTTCTTAGCCTTGAAGACGCGTTTCAGCGTATTGCCCAATCCAGGACCAGAATACAAATAAAAGCCAAGTGTGAACACAGCCACGTTGAACGTGGTGTAAACAATCAAGAAGCCAAAGTTCCTCCAGCGGTCGTCGTATGACATGTTCAAAGCACCAAGATACACATCCGCGACGGCGAATTGGCAGAACTGGCAGTCTTGATTGGCATCCGGGTTGTACAATGTCGCCATGCTCGCATTCGCAAACGCGCCCGCGTACTCGCCGCACGTCTGTCCCTGAGGAGGCTGGAAGACGTTGGTCTCGGCTACCGTGCATTGAACCGGAACATCATGCACACCGGTAGACATCATGGCTGAGACGAGCCATGTAAAAGGACTGACGTAGTAGGCGAAATGCCAAAACCCGACGAGTTGCGAAAGCGGTTGGAGTACTCCGCTGAAAGCGAGAATGAACGTGTAGAAGAGAATGGTCAACATGGCGGCTGTTTCGGCATTGGGTGTGACGACGGCAAGTGCCTGCGAAAAGGTTGCGTGATAGATCTGGTAGACGCTGAACACGAGGTACATGAATGCGCCTCGCCCGTCAGATATGTCGCGCCACCAGCCCACGGGGAAGTACCAGCAGAGAAAGCACATGCTTGAAATGACAAAGTTGAAGGGTATCTCCACGAGTACGTTTGCCACTACGAAGACGCTCCAGTGGTACATGTTCGAGTGCTTTTCGCGGACATCGTATATCTTCCGGAGTTCGATGAGTCGAGGCTGGACAAGAACCATCAAGATAAGACAGAGAAGCAGGATCGTGAAGACTGAGAACACTTTGTTCTGTAGGCCTTGCACGGAGTTTTGTTCTTTGTAGAAGGTAAAACCCATGAACAGCCCACCAATGATGTTGATAGCAAGCTTGCTGTTGATGTAACCCGGCGAGCGCCATTGCTGCACGAAAAGTCGCTTCTGCACGAGGAGGTATTGTTGCCACCAGCTCGTCGCAAACTTGCGCATCGGAGCGCTGGAATTCTGGGCAGGATTGGAGCGGCCTAATGACTCGAAGTGCTCAATGCGTTCGGTAACAGCACTGCGCTCCATGGATGATTGCCACACTGAAGGCCAATCGAGTGTTGCTTGTCCCGTGGCGCCTGCTCCAATTTGTTCGAGAATGTACTCGGCTGGGTTTGCGCCTTCTGGGCACCTGGGTGCACCGTAGCTAGCAAAGTAGTCGAGAACTGTTTGTGAGTCTCTGCCCAGATCTCCAAAGTAGACGGTCTTTCCACCCCGTGCTAACAATAGCAGTCGGTCAAATTGTTCGATAAGAGTAGCAGAAGGCTGATGAATGGTACACAGAATTGCCTGGCCTGCATTGGCAAGATCTCGGAGCAGTTGAACGATGGACCACGCTGATTGAGAGTCAAGGCCAGATGTCGGCTCATCAACAAATATGAGCAACGACGGCCGTGCGACAAGTTCAAGCCCGACCGTAGTACGCTTTCGCTTCTCTGCGCTGAGTCCTTTCCCTGGAATGCCAATTACGGCTTCAGCGAAGTCATCCAGACCAAGAATTGAGATGATGTTCTCGACGTAGGCGTACTTTTCTTCCAAAGATACTTCTTGTGGTTGACGAAGAGACGCAGAGAAACGGAAAGCCTCGCGGACTGTCATCTCAGCCATATGGATATCTTGCTGCTGTACATAGCCAGTGCGTTGCTGGAACGAGGCATCCAAGGCAACGCCGTTGATCGTTGGATCACCAGTTACAATACCCACTCCGCCAACACGCTGTGCGAGTACATTGAGTAGGGTGGTCTTACCCGCTCCAGAAGCGCCCATAAGTGCCGTCAGTGTACCAGGCTCAACAAAGCCTTCAACATCGGACAGCAATCGACGTGTAGTTCCTTTAATGTCGATGTCGTAGTTGAGGTGTTTCCAAGAGAAGACATCTTTGCCGCTTTCGATACCTGGCGTACTCCCATCAGTCGCAACCTTCTCATCAGTGTCAGATGTACCAGCTGCACCGCTTTCCGTGTCATGAGGCTTTGCTGTAGCCCAAGGCGAATTCTTCCGAAAGACCATCTGAGAAGTGCCATTAGACGACTTCATGAACTCGGTCGTCGCAGCATAAATAATGGTAAATGCTAGGAAGAAAGCGATCGATATGCCGAGGTTGCGCCACACATGGTCATATGAGTAGCCATGCGACAAAGCGATATACTCGTCTCCGACTACGTACGGGACACCTGGTCTAGCTCCGATAACGGCACAGACTTGGTTCTGTGTGTCCACATTCTCATACCCAGGGCCAGACGGGATTAGCTGCTGGCAAGGTGCCTGCCGTCCATGAAACTCGATGGCCATGAGGGCTTCGATGGTATAGTAGATGGGATTGATGTAGGAGATCCATTTGAACCAAGGATGCATCGAAGGACGGGGGATGACGTATCCTCCGTACATGGCCAGCGGGAGAATGGATAGTCCAGCCACAGCTAACGCTATGTCCACAGTCGAAGTGAATGCTGCGATGATGCGAAACCAGGCAGTCATGGTTACCGTAGTAAGGTAGGTAAAGACAACGAAGAGGAAGAATGGACCGGCTTCCTTCTTCAGACCAGCCATGAAGTAAACAATGACCGTGAACAGCATGATGTTGATGATCTTGATTGGATATTGCGAAATCATTGTAGCCAGAGCATCGATGTACGGGTGGTACATGCTGTAGGCATGATGTTTCTCAACAATCGGTCTCTGCGAAAATTGCGCGACGATTTCAGCAAAATTGATGATGATGTTGAAGAGGACAATGAAGAAGATGATACCGCCTTTAGAAAAGAATCCGCTTGTTCCAGGATCAATCTGATAGAACATCGACCCCATGATCAACGGGATGATGAGCATCGTCGCTGTGATAGCCGTAAAATAGGCATACTCTCCTTGGATCCGTTGAATGGCTCGTTTGAAAGTCGTGGTGAACTGCATGCCAAGGTTCAGAGTGTATGGCGAGTATACGCGAGTAGCGGGGGCTCTTTCAGCAGATCGCACGCTCTTGAATCGGTTCAATTCCTGACTCTGCATAGAACCGACCGTGTCGAGATGTTCTTCGATCGCCAGCCTCAAGTTGCGATAATCAGCACTAGCTCTCCATCGATCCTCAAACTCTTGCGCAGTACGTGGAACTTGGTTCTCGCAGCCTTCACGCACAACTCGTGCGCTTGGATCTGTTATAGAGACCAGGAACTCCGCAACAGTCTGACGAGAGGGGCAGAGGAAGCCCATAGTTTCGAAGAAACCTTTCGCTGCGTGCACGTCTCCGAAGTAGATCTGACGACCCTCATGAAGAAGCAGCACTTTGTCGTACGTGCCAGCCAGTGAATCGCCTGGCTGGTACAAAGCAGATATGGATACGTTATTGGTGAGGTCGGTGGCAACACGCAGCGCTCTGGCGAAGTCTAAAGATGTTGAGCTATCAAGACCTTTTGTTGGATTGTCCCAGCAGGTCACGCAAGCTCGAGTAAGAAGCTAATTCACAGTCAGCATTGTGAGCATTATGATGTCTGTTCCAACAAGACCTACCATTTCAGCGATTGAAACTCGACGCCTCTCGCCTCCAGATACACCTCGTACGAAGTCATTGCCCACGCGGGTCTGGGCTGTGTGTCTTAAACCGAAGATTGCCATGAGGATGTTTTTGATGCCTTCGATGTACTGCTTTCGTGAGACACCGTCCATACGCATCCGAGGTGTCTTGGTACTGGCTGCAAACTCCAAAGTTTGAGAAACCGTAAGATAGGGAAAGTGGTGGTCGATGGCGTCGTTGAAGGTCAGCATACCTGCGAATCGCTTTCGCATGGTCTTAAGATTGATACCGCTGTAGCTGATAGATCCAGACCATTTCCGGTAGCCTTCGATCTGTCCAGAGAGCATTCTCAACAACGTCGTGCAACCACTGGATGGAGGCCCAAGGACCAACATCATCTCGCCAGGAGCGAGTATTCCGTCGATATCATGGAGAACCCTTCTCTCTTGCGGCTTCTTCAATGAGTTGCGGATCATAGTAATGAGATTGGTGAAGAGGGACAGTGCGTCTTGCTGTGTAGCCTTGCCGACATCGTCGCCGTATACGGAGACATCCTTCCACGCGAGCGTCACATGTGGTGACAGAGGCCCTGCGCCATCCCGTTCTCCTCGATCAATAGCAATTGCAAGCGTCCTTTCCAGAGTCCAGTTTGGGTCATCAACGTCAAAAGGGTCGATTTTCCGGTCTGGGTCGTGTGCAGCCGAGATACGTCGAACAAGGCGCGCGACTGCAGCAGGTGAAAGAGATTCTTCGTTCTGATCATTCTGAGGGGCAGAAGAGGTGATTGTTTCGTCATCTGTATCATCGGAGGTGTTGGGTGACATGGTCAGCTCCAGGGTGATGGTACAGCGATGGCAGGATGCTCGATCTGGTCGAACGACCAGATCTATATATCAAACTCTTACTCATCGCATCCATTGCTCTCCTTGCTCATCGGTAATGACGAGAGAAAGTCAACTCTGAACTTGTTTCCATGTTTTCGGAAGGAAGTTCGCATCTCGGTAGCCGCGTAAGGCTAAAGCGGGTCTATCCGAACGCTATCAATGCACCTCCTCGGCTCCGAGCTTTATGAAGACGCCATCCCTCGTTCTTTTACGCACCCGAAGTCTTCCTGCATGTTCAAAGCCTTTCTTCGAGAACTATGGATTTCGGCGGTAAACTAATGAAAACATGCGATCCATGCAAAACTCGCAAAGTTCGTTGTGGTGGCATCGGTAGGTCGCTGATTACTGATCCACCCTTTCATCCTCAGAAGTGTGATACTGATAATTGAATAGGACATCCAGGTGCTACGAAGTGTCTCAACTGCGCTCGAAGAAACGAGGTCTGCAACTTCAGTCCTGTCCGCATACGGAAGAGACGATATGCATCAAGCTCGCAGCAAGAATCCGTCATAGGCTCCGCAAAGAAAGTGGACTCCGAACTTAGGGACGAGTCGGAGATTCACCACGATGGTCATAGCTCGTTCGGAGGCATGTCAAAGTATGACGGACTCCAAGAGTTGTACGTAGATAGGCTTCTATCTGCTCCCGATCAAGACAATGCGCTCAGTGCGCAGAGTCCGAGCCTGCAAGATCTCGGTGTTTTCGGTAAGTTCGGATCATAAACCAGTTCTTGTTTCTTCGCTGTCAGCTTACCAAATTCCAAACAGGAAGCGAGTACAGTCTGACGTTCTTCCCCGAGGCTCGACTGAAGGAGCTGGCCATCCGTCTTGGTCATGACCGCGTATCACATGCTCGGGCGAAGGTGACCAATATCATTGGAGAGCGAATGAAAACTATCGAGCGAGTACCTGCTCCTGCGCCAGACTCCGATCGTATCCGTGTGTTTGATATCGAAAAAGAATACATCGCGACTTGCATTCAAGGTAAGTTCGTAAACGTCTGGTGTTCACGTCCGTGGTTGACCGTATAGCCTATTTTGAGCATGTCGACCCGATTCATCCATTTCTCGACAGGCGGCGATTCGAAAGCATCGCTCTCAGTCCGAATCTGAGCGACAAACTCGCCAGCGACAAGTCGTGGTCCGCACTGTTTTACGCTGTTCTCGCTCTGGGCTCGCAGTACCACGATGGAGGTAGCTATGAGCCTACAAAGAGCGGAAGCTGGCGGTTTTTTGGCACGGCTCTAGCCATCTTTCCAGATCTGTTGATTAGCAGAACCACATTGAACACGGTTCAAGCACTGACAGCCATGGCAATTTTTGCCTCGAATCTTTCGTGTCTGCAAATCGAATACGCCATGGTGTCAGAAGGAGCCAAAAAGGCACAAACACTAGGGTACAACAGATCGACGGCTCCTGGTAACGATGAACGGAACCGCACATTCTATGTTCTTTATTTCCTTGAAAAGAACATGTCGTTCAATATTGGCAGATGCTCTACTATCATGGATTCGGACATCAGCAGTGCTATCCCAACTCAGCCGTTATTGTGCAGCGGCACGTCGTTTGACTGGACTCGTGCGTCTATCCGGATATCACGACTCCTTAGTCGCATATACGCATCTCTGTTCTCTGTCAGTGTACGAGGTAGACCGAAAGCCTACTACAATACGACCATCTACAACCTCAAGTCCGAGCTGGGAGCATGGGCAAAGACGATACCCATGGAGCTTCGGCCAGGGCAACCTATACGGCCGTATACCCAGACCACGCAAATGATTGATATTGGTATACGGCTCCATTATTTGTACCATGGCACCATGTTGCATCTTGATCGTACTGCTCTCCAGATGGAGGATGAGTCTGATGCTCGGTCTGATTTGGTGGACGGCATTATGCGTACAGCGCGGACGGTGCTCGAGCTCACAAAGTTTATCGATATGCAGCCTTACACACCTATTTGGTAAGTTTGAGTATCCTTGCTCGTGTGACAGTTGTTGATGATTTGCAGGGTTCTTGCCAGCGTTCCGTTGGCTGCTTATCTTGTTCTTTTCGACATGGTCATAGATAATCCGACCCACCCAAAAACCACAGCCAATTTGGCCTTGCTCGATGTTGGCTGTGGTCATTTCAGTGGCTTGGAGTACGCTTCGCAGGGAACACTCCCAGGGTCCATCGCATCGGAGTTCACACAGATAGCGCGAACTTATGTGCGGGCGCAAAACGACTCTGAGAAGAATAGCCACCCAAAATCGTCTGCCATGTATGCCGAAGGTGTGGCCCCGATTGAGGGGCCGCAGGAAACAACAGTCGCTGAGGCGCCATCAGCTTTTCCTTCATACGCGGATTTGCAGCCATTCCCTCTAGGATGGAATCTTCGGAATGACGGTGGGACAATGCTCGACGGCGAGTCGCTGGACTTGTTCGGCTCGTACTATCCGCTCTGGGATGAGGGTGCGGCGTACAACACGATGAACCTGTAATTGTATGTAAAATTAGTTGTATAAGTAGCATTGATAGACACTAAGTCAGTAGTCGCTTGAGTAGGTCAATATATTTGCTTGCGAAGAGCAAAACATGATGCATCGGTTCAAGGAGGTGAAGCGAGAGGTGAGGTGGATCGCAGGTCCATTTGAGGCATGCGAGAACGAGGGTCCGAGCTGATGCGTCATCGGCTATCGGCGGCGGGCTTTCTTTCACTAACAAAAGTCGCAGACAGTCTCTCAAGCATCAATCACGATGCCCTCATGTTCATAGCCCGGACACGCACGTGCTGGTTGCGCGCTAGACCAATTGCCCGCCTTCATCACACAGCCGCCACGATGGAGAAGCGCGACTATGCGGTATGTTTCTAGCAATGTGCGCATGGATTGGGCTGACCATCGTAGGCTGCGGTTGCGGCGCTGAACACGCTTCAGTCCAACTTCTCCATAGTCGATGCGATCCGCAAGTCGGGTCGCGGCATGAACAAGCAGGCGATACCGGAGATGATTGAATGGTGTCGCAAAGCTGGATATGAGGTGTGCGGCTCCCGAGAACCCCACCTGAGGATGGTGACTGATGACATGTCCAGCCCTCAGAATTTGACAGGCTGAAGCCTATACACATCGCCGGAACAAAGGGAAAGGGCTCGACTAGTGCCTTTATCTCATCTATCTTGTCGCAATACGCGACCTCCAGCGATGCGCAGACTCCACCCTCGAAGATCGGCCTCTACACCTCCCCACATCTGCGATTCGTACGTGAGCGCATACAAATCGACAATGAGCCAATATCAGAAGAGAAGTTCGCCAAATACTTCTTCGAGGTATGGGACAAGCTGGAGGCAGCAGCGAAGACCGAAAATGCGCCCGCAGACGTGCCCACAAAGCCAGTATACTTCCGCTATCTGACCCTTATGGCGCTACATGCGTATCTGAAGGAGGGTGTGGACTCGGCTGTTATTGAGTGTGGCATTGGCGGCGAATTTGACAGCACCAACATCTTGACAAAACCCACTGTCACAGCCGTCACGAGTCTAGGGATAGATCATACCGCGATGCTCGGTTCTACACTTCCAGAGATAGCCTGGCACAAGGCAGGAATTTTCAAAGAAGGCAGTGTCGCATTTACGGCGTGTCAAAAGGACGAAGCCATGACCGTTCTGGAAGAACGGGCGGCAGAGAAGGGCACGAAGCTACACACCATCGACATACATCCGGCTCTAGCCAACAACGAGATCAAGCTTGGGCTAGGTGCAGCGTTCCAGAAAATCAATGCGTCCGTGGCAATAGCTGCTGCTGCTGCACACCTGCGAGCACTGGGCCACACTTCGGTGCCCGACCCCACCGTCGTTCCCCATATCGAACTCCCTTCCGAATTTATTCGCGGCCTAGAGCAAGTGCGATGGGCTGGCAGATGCGAGATAAGACGCGAGACCAACGTTGCATGGCACATCGACGGAGGGCACACAATGGAAAGCATCGAGGTTACTGGAAAGTGGTTCGCGGAGCAGATCAAAATTGCTACATCCACCGCTACCTCGCAATCCAAGGTTCCTCGAATCTTGATCTTCAACCAACAAACCCGAGACGCAAATGCACTTGCCAAAGCTCTATACACAGCTCTGCAGAGCGGTATCACGTCTGGATCGCAGTCTCCTTTCACACATGTCATCTTTACGACCAATCAAACCTTCAGCGAAGGGTACAAGCCTGATCTCGTGTCGATGAACACCAACCAGCAGGACGTAGATACATTGGCCGTGCAGAAGGCGCTCGCGAACACGTGGTCTGATATTGACAGCACTGCAGAAGTGCATGTGCTACGTACAATCGAAGAGGCAGTCGGAACCGCACGAAAGGTGGCGCAAGACTATGCCAAGCAGGCGGGGGCCGATGCTGAAGTTATGGTGTTGGTAACTGGAAGCTTGCACCTGGTTGGCGGTGCGCTTGAAGTATTGGAAACAGCCAAGGCGCAGTGAAAAGTGATACCCATAGACACCAATGATACGAGAACGCGCTTCAACATGCGCTAAGAAATGTTCGGAAGCGACCGTGTGGGCTACCCGTCACATGTCCATTGGAGCAACTAATGCAACGTTAAAACAATCGTGGCTGTCCTGCAGGTCGCGTGCTCACATGCCAACTAAAGAAAATGTTCTTTTTCAGAACTACTCGTCACATAATAGCGTCTATTATAAGATGCTGCTGACTCGTGGCGCTCATCAATAGGTCTGAGTCAATCGATGCCCAGAATCGCATGTTGTAGTCAGCAGTCGGAGTACCACATGGTCCAGACTAGCTATTGGTGCCATTACCCCAGAAATTTCCGCATCGGTAAAGTTTGCACGTCTTGGTGCTCATGGCTCTACGGGAGACATCGGGTTCGATCTTCTTGAGAGTCTCCACCGGCCGCGCATCGTTACGTGCTGGGCAAGCCGAACACCCGATTCCAGTAATTGAGGTGGTGATGAGAGCGAGTATGGCTTTTTGTACAATTTTGAAACACGGAGTTTGACTGGAGTAATGGCGGCTGTACTACAGACCCATCAAAAGATCCAGCACCCGTTCGGCCGTCTACGCGTGGCGGAACTGGAGATCGGAAGGTCTTGGCACTTGGCCCCAGCATGTGATTGGGCAATAACACTCGCGGAAGAGCCGCTAACCGACCACAGTGACCACTACTAGTTCCTTCAGATGTCATATCTCCCGACTATTCCCACCGTTACTGATCGATCTCCACGTCATCCTCCAAACGTATCAACCCATCGTTCGCGCTCTACCGACTAGATTGCTGTCACTACTACAAAACGCACCTTCTATCGTCTCCCTGTCTAGAAAGGAGGGCTTGGCTACCGAGGTCCCAAGATGAACTGCCCTTCCAAAACCGATGAGGACGTCCTTTGGCATCCGGAATGGAATCAGAGTCCGCCACGCTTCGCTGCTGATCTGACGACTTGTGAGGACCTAAACGGCATCGCGAATGCAAGGGAATTAGGAGAAGCAGACCGGTTGCGCAGCGGCACACAGAGTCTCCGGCGCTGTGGAATCGATGATTCTAATGCTCAAGAGATGGAGAAGAGACCGCCGAACATTACGGGCGAGGGTGTCAAAGGGTCCCCAAACGGTATGTTGCAGTTTTCCGATAACTCGGAAATGAAGGTTGCGATGCTGACTCGTCTGAAGGACCTTGCACCCGAACAACCAGACATGTGAGCGAGTACCAAGGTGGCCTCACCGCCACTATCATCAGCTGGTCAAAGTGGCTAGTATCGGTACTGTGTACTTCAATTTTGATTTCCTGGGCTAGCGGCAACCTGTCTGCCCCCAAATTTTTCTTGCCCAAAGGTAAGATGGAACAACTCGTTTTGCGTCAAAGCGTCACTACTAATAACGAATTTCAGATCAATCATTCCAACGTCTCCCCAGGCGAAGTACCTGCGAAGATGGCAAAGCGCAGCCCGACTACGATCTGGGTCTGCATGTCGCTGGTCTCTTCATTATTCTTTTCGTATCCGGCACTGGATGTGCCTTCCCAATGCTCGTACTCAAATTCCCGCGGCTGCGCATTCCACCTGCCTTCCTTTTCGGCGCAAAGCATTTCGGTACTGGTGTCTTAGTCGCGACCGCATTTGTCCATCTACTCCCCACCGCTTTTGGTTCACTGAACGACCCATGTCTGTCAAGTTTCTGGACAACTGACTACCAGGCTATGCCAGGCGCTATCATGCTAGCTAGTGTGTTTTTCGTCACATTGATTGAAATGATCTTTTCTCCGGCCCAGCATGTCTGCGGTGGTAACGAGGGCGCGGAGGCTGTGTCTCGCCGAAAGGAAGAGCCAAAGCACGAGGCTACTGAATCACCGGCTCCACCACAACCAGCAATGCAGAGGACGTACTCCGAATCTAGCATGCGAGTCCGAGATCTAGGTGTCTTGCGTGGAAGAGTTGGGAGCATCAGTAGGACACTCTCCCGCTACCGCGAAGACGGCCAAAGACTTGACGCGATTGAATCTGTTGGTGGGTCTGCAGCAGAGATTCCAGGCGCTCATAGCAAGGAAGACAGTGACGAGTATGCTATCGAACAGGACCAAGAAGCTGGAGACCACAACCACGTGCTCACACCCGAGCAAGTCCACAAGAAAGCCATTATGCAAGTTTTTCTCTTGGAAATGGGTATCCTGTTCCACAGCATCTTCATCGGAATGTCGCTTGCCGTTTCCGTTGGTAACGACTTCACCGTGTTGCTCATTGCCATTGTCTTCCATCAAACTTTCGAAGGCCTCGCCCTCGGTGTACGTATCGCGGACATCAACTGGAAGCCCCGCGCTGCACAGCCCTGGCTCATGGCTCTCGCATACGGTTGCACTACACCAGGCGGCATGGCAATCGGCATAGCAACTCACACCCTGTACTCTCCCGACTCTGAAGTTGGTCTTCTCGTCGTCGGCATCATGAATGCTATTTCCGCGGGTTTCCTCGTCTACGCAAGTCTTGTGGAACTCATGTCGGAGGATTTCTTGAGCGATGAGAGTTGGAAGGTGCTCAGGGGAAAGCGCAGGGTGTATGCGTGTTTGCTTGTGTTCTTGGGAGCCTTCCTCATGAGTTTGGTGGGGGCTTGGGCGTAGAGAGGTGATGTAGTAGACGCGATGGTAGGGGCAGCATTGAAATCGGATGAAGACCCGTTGGGAAGAAGGGGGGTAGAAGATGGAGGTGGAAAAGGGATACCGGATGGAGGAGAGGGAACACAAGGAACCTGGAGGACGAAGCGAACAAAATGTAGATGGACCTGAGGCGAATACACCCTTTTAACTATCGTTACACTCATTGTAGGGTCGTGTTTGCAATGATTGGCCGCAGGATGGGAGAAATTATGTATGTTCAGAACCTCTGACTATATATACAAGAAACAGAGTCGATCGCTACCGGCCACTACAGCACAACCACTGGTAGCCATCATAGTGAGCAATAATCTTTCGTTCAGACACCACGGATGCAGTGTAGTCTCCACTACCTCATCACACACTCCGCCATGAGATGGCACATTGGGAATTCCGCCTCGCCCTTCCCTTGCGTAAGCACACTCCCTCTGGGCGCCTCCGCATCCAGCGTCCTGCTCATAACCAGCAGCCCCTTGGTCCACTCACTCCAACTGACCACGCCATTTTGCACCCTGATTAATGCCTTCTCCTTCGAGTCCCCAATGGAAGGAACAGCAAGAAACCTTGGGTGAGGATGCGTTGGCAGGTGATACTCATGTGCCGTCATCTTTACTTCCCTCATGAATTTCTTAAATTCAGGATCCCCGCTGCCGTTGTTGAAGAGAAACGTGTTCAATCCAAACTTGTGCTCAGCAAGCGCATTTTGGATTGCGAACGAATGTTCCAAGCATAGACCCACGCTCACAGACCCCCGTTTCCTCTTCACCTCCGCATCCATGAGTTGTGTCAGACATACCACCATATCAAGTGGTATCTGACCTGCGACCCTCTTTCCTTTCTTACTTTTGAGCGCTCCGTCAACTGGTTCCCATAGTATTTGGATATCGTATCTCGCCACCTTTTTCAGCCATGGGAAAGATTTGGCCAGTTTGTTCAGATGTGTTGAGATTTTCTTGTTCCAATCTACTTGCACGAAGTTGTTGACGCGTCCGTGGAAATGTACTCCAATTTGAAGGGTAATCGCATTGCTGAGGAGGTGCGATGAGTATTCTAGACTTTCGGGGAAAGTGGCCCGTGGGAGCGAGAGCAGGGAGGTTGAGCCATGGTGTGTGGGGATGAGGTTGATGGTCGTATGTTTGCAGGTGAATGTTTTCAATCCCAGAGGGAGGTGTGAGTTTAAAGATGTTGAGTCGGAAGGGGGAATGGAAAGGTAGGAGTAGATTTCGTTGCGGAGCTCAGGTGGGAGGTTGGGGAAGAGAGGAGTTGCCAAGGGCATGCTGGAGGCCATATCTGATCGTTTTCGGTGAAGCTTGGAGCGTTGCAGGCGGATACCTGGATTTCCAAATGCTCGATAGGATGGGCCGATAGTCGCGTTGCTGACTTCAAATTGCTGGTATCGAGTCCGGCAGAGTGAGATATAGATGCGAGACGCGGACTAGGTCGTGATACCACCGACGGACCAATCTTCAAGCAGAAGTTGGGTGACCACAGCCGAGCCTATTGGCTTGAAGATACTATAGTAATTGTCCGAGTGAACGCGAGATCACGTGACAGCGTAGCCTGTTGCCCCAGGTGAAAGCAATGACCAGGAACGCTCATACCATGTCAGCTTTGCTTCTGCCATGCTTCAAGGAACTCTATACCTTTGACAAAAACTATTGCTATTGGTACTTGTAAGAAAGTAAAAATCTGGACAAGAACAATTTTTCCGTCCGAAGTGGTGCTATTCGGCAGCGGCTCGGCACTTTGCGCTTTTAGGTAGCGGCGACGATGGTGGATCGGGTACTAATATATGTATGCGGGTCTCTCGTTATGGGTTCATCTTCTCGTTTTAGCTCTTTGTGTCCAGGATAGTCCGCGGACGTTGTTCGACCCTTTGATGGCGTTTTCTGAGGAAGGTAGACAGAGAAGACTGCTGTGGACAAGACATACATTTTGAGTTTGACCTGACGCGCAGGTTTGAAGATGGGCTTATACCATGGTATGTATGCCAGATAGATCGGACGTTCCACGGTCAACTGTGGTTGAGTTTTGACAATAGCGTTGCTCAACCATTATGGTGCAGAGTTTGCAAGCAAAGTAAGACTACATGCTGTTGGTCAAGATGTTGGTGGTATGTAAATGTCACTGCAACTAGAATGTGAGCATCGATCGCAGTAGGTGCAGAAGCGTCGTTGTTATACCTCTGCTTGAGTCATCGAGTATTGATGAGTCTCCTGGTTAAAGATGGCTGCGCCACCCGTCTGACAGCCCCCGTCTGTGCGTATGCTCATCACCAATCACAGCATACTTGGTCAGGACGTGTGTACAGACAGCTACGGCCATGACTTGGAGCCAGTATAGGTATCGCATTTTACTACATGCAACATATAGAGTTATCGTTAAGCGCCCAAAACTCCTGCCCAAATGAACGCCGGCCCAAGCTTTTGATGCATCGTATACATGTCACTCAGGCCTATATGGCCTCAGCAGCAGCCTTGGCCTTCTCGACCTTTGCACGCTTCCTGCGCAGGCTCTCGGATTCATTAGCACGCTTGTCTTCACCGTATTCGATACGCTTGAGGAGCTTGCGCTTCTTGTTGGACAACATCATCTTCTGCCTCTCACGCTCCTCCTCTTCCGCGCGCTTCTTCTTCTCGGCCTTCTTGCGGATGGCGGCGTTCTCCTCTTTCCTCGTCGGCTTCTTGACCTCGAGCTTCTTGCCAAGGGCTTCAGCTTCCAGTTCACGCTGATGCTGGAGACGAGCAGCTTCTCCTTCTGAGATGTCTGATTCAGCGTCAGAATCGAGGCCGTCAAACTCTTCACCTTCATCAGCCTCATCAGATTCTTCGCTGTCATCTTCCGAGTCGTCAGCGATATCCATGCCTTCGCCAACTTCGACTGAGCCCTCGCGGTCAACAATGGCATCCATATCCTCATCTCCGTCAACATCGAAGGCTTCCTCGTCCTCGTCACCCTCGTCTTCAAACGCCTCGGCCTCACCCTCTGGTTGCTGCGCAGCGAGGGGAAGGTTGGGGTCGTATTCGCCCTTCTTGGGCTTGACCCAGGGGCTAAGATGCGGCGGCAGGTCTGCGCCAGGGGAGTAGTGGTCTGGTCGCAATAGCTTGCCCTGGTTGATACTGTCCCAAACCCATTGTGGCTGAACGTAGGTGCGTCCCGGCATCATGGAGTAAGGCCATTGAACCTTGGGAGCAGCAGCATCCTCGTCATCTCCGTTAGGCACGCCGTTGGATAGAGCGGGTCGGTCGACAATCTGGTGTGTGATGTTCGGGTCCGACTCGTTCGTTGTGAAAGCACCGTCGCCGAGAGTTCCATCCCAACCAACTCTCTTGCAGCCAAATGCCTTCAATATAAACTCGAGCGATGCTCTGGGTGTCTCTCGCGATAGGTAGAAGGTGAAGGGCGCGAAGAGGGAAGCAATCTCAGCGCTGCTTGCTTGCGGCTGGGGTAGGATGTCGGCATCGGGCGCAGTCGGCTCGAACTTGTCAATCTCGTCGTTGGCCTCCTCCTCATCGTCCTCAGTAGCAACCTTGGCTACAGCTGTGGTGCTCTCCTCCTCATCAACATCAGACATAGCTCCAATCCTGTCCGCTATCGCCTGTGCCTCGGGGTTGATCTCGGCATCCTCATCGTGTCCATTAGTCGCGCCGTTGGCAGTAGCCTTGCCCTCGAGCTGGAATGCAGCGAGCTCACCACCTTGTTCGTCGCTCTTTGCGTTGAACTTGGGTGGGTATACCAAGCCGACTGATGTGTAGAGGCGGTAGTTGACAAAGCCGAGAAGAGTGGTGTAGAACTCGACAAAGGTGCCCATAATCCTGAAATCGATGTCGCCACCGGTTCGCTGGACGAACCTGTATGGTACAAGCCAAAGGATGTCCTGACCTTGGATTGTCGCCTGGTAGTAGATACCCTTGATAGAGAGGAAGGACTTGCGGAGGGCGTGGGAGGTGATTACGTAGTGCTCGAACTCGCGGGTCAATCGCTGGCAAAGGGCAATGGTCTTCGCAGGGACGTGGTCGCTCGAGGGGAGGTTGGCGAAGAGGAAGAGCATAGAGAGAGCATCATCGAGGTCACGCAGGGCGTCGACAAAGGTAGGGTAGCGCTCCTTGATGATGTGGTCGAGCTTGACCTTGGGCATGAGGTTCTTCTCGAGGCGCGATGCATCTCCCGACTCGCCGCGACCGAGGGCGCGACCAATCTTCTTTGCGACAGCCTTGTGCTCGCGGAACTTTGCCAGCAGCGGCTCGTGGAGGAGATACTGGATGTCCTTTGTGTAGTAGAAGGTGGTGGCAGCGGTAGAGCCTCGCGAGACCTTCTTCTTGTTGCGCGGCTCACGGGGGTAGATTCCCTTGAAGATACATAGTCGTCTGAAGTCCGGGAGCGAGATCTGAAGCTTCTTCACGGCGCGCGTACGAGTGATGTAGTTCTTGGCCGCACCAGAGGTGCCTATGGATTGGTTAGCGAAAAAGACGTCTCGATCAGTTGTAGGCGTGCATACCCTTCTTTTTTGAGCGACCGGCCATTGTGTTGTCTGTATAGAATCGCGATTCTGTCGATGCAGATGGTCGAACTTTTGGCGGGCGCAAAAAAGTTCGAGATGCGGCCAACTAGCGGACATGGATCCGGCATTAGCGTGCGACCAGGGTCCACCAACATGCATCTTGCCAGAACACCAGCGCCGAGGTGAAGACCCGCCATGGAGCCAATGATTGTGTAGGAGAGAGTTACCATGGCCGTCAAGCAGCAGAACAACACGCAGCAGAAGCTGCTGCTCTTCGGAGCCGCCGCAGCTGTGCGCTTGCTCCTCTTCACTGTCTTTCCCGCACTACCAGACCTCCTCGCCGGACGTGTCGAGGTGTCAACACCAGTGACGAGCTTCAAGAGATGTATGTATCCGACATGGAGTGTGTATACTATCACTGACACGTGATAGTGCAAGAGGGCGTCTTCCTCTACACCCATAATGTCTCTCCCTACGACGGCGGCGTATACCACCAGGCACCCCTCCTGCTGCCTCTCTTCTCCCTCTTCCCGAGCCCGGCACAGGCCCCTCTGGCCACCAACATCTTCTATACTATCGTCGACCTACTGAGTGCGAATGCACTGGCTCAGGTGGCAGAGAGCGGCTTCGCGTCTGTCACGCGACTGTTCGCCTCGCCGCGGAAGGACTTGAAATGGAGCAGTACGGCTGTCGCAGCAGGGTACGACTACTACAATCCTCTACAGAACATATGCTAACACCTCGAAGCTTCCTCTTCAACCCCTTCACCGTCCTGACATGCATTGCACGCTCTACCTCGGCCCTGACGAACCTCTTCATCCTCACGGCCATGGCCAAGGCCTCCCAAGGCGCCAGCTTCACCTTCATTCTATCCACGGCTTTCGCTTCGTACTTCTCTATGCACCCGATACTCCTCTTCCCTCCGCTGATGGTCCTCCTTTATGATGCAAAGACACTAAAGTCCAAGACTGCGCCAAATGTCACATCCTTCATCGCAACCCATACTGTTGGCTTTGCAGGCGCAATAGGCGCCCTGCTCACTGGCTCCGCATTATTGATGGATTCATGGGACTTCCTGTCGGCGACATACGGTGTGCGTCTTCTCCTGCCTGACCTCACACCCAACGTGGGACTCTGGTGGTACTTCTTCATTGAGATGTTCGATTCCTTCCGCGAGTTCTTCCTTGGCGTCTTCTGGCTCCACGCGGCGTCGTATATGCCCGGCCTGACGATTCGACTTCACAAGCAGCCACTGTTCGTCGCATGCTGTTTGACAGGCGTTTTTGCCATCTTCACTCCATACCCGAGCATAGCGGATGCTGCGCTCTACCTTTCTTTGGTGCCCATGTTCCGCCATCTGTTTCCTCGTGAGTATTTGCCTTTCCCGTGAGACTGCGACAAAACTAACTATGTCACAGTCATGCGTTATACCTTTTTGGCATCAGCGAGCATCCTATATACGTCATTCTTGGGCCCCGCCTTCTACCATCTGTGGATCTATGCTGGATCAGGTAACGCCAATTTCTTCTACGCTATTACTCTCGTCTGGAGTTTGGGATTATCCATCATCTTGGGAGACTCGCTATATGCGGCACTGAGGGACGAGCTGGATGTGGAAAGACCCGAATTACAGGGCAAGGAAGTGCGCAGGGCTTAGCACGGCGGTGTGCTGGCGTCTCCAATTGCCCTCAAGAATATACTATACGAATTGCACAAATCTTCAAGCCAGACTCACTCGCGCGCTATGCTGTCCTACAGTTTCCTATTAGAGCTTTAAAGACAAGATGAAGGCGTCTTTTCTCTCCTCTTTTAGGTTGCCTAGCCACTCTCACCACGCGCTCAAATCTCACCGAACTGCCATCTTCACCGCTGATTTTAAGCGTCTTTCTACTTCTGTAGGAAAGCATATAAACAACGTATCCCCGCCTCTTTCAGTCTTTTCTTCCATCGCTCTTCCATTACTCTCTCGCGATAGCTTTTGCCCCACCGCACTTGCAAACACTTGACATACATCATATCTACACCCAAACAACAAGATCAACATGGCTGGTAATAAAAAGGTCAGCTTCTCACCTCGTGAGATGGAGGTTATGGCCCTCGCCTGGCAGTGCATGGAGACGCAGCCCAAGGTATATACTTTCCAGTACCACCTCTACCTCTCCCAATCATCATCATGTCAATTCCCAACACTCTCAGCACACTCTTTATCACCTCATCTTCTACCCTTCTATTCCTCATACTGACACGTCTATCCCTAGATCGATATGCATAAACTGGCCTCCCTAACCGGCTACACCGTCGGCTCCGCCGGCGTCACGTTCGGCAAGATTAAGACCAAGATCAAGCTCCTCGGCGAGTCCCTCTCTACAGACGGTCCCACCACCCCCAAGAAAGCCGGAGGTCCGGGTCGCAGCAAGGCTACGTCTATTCCAACTTCTACCCCTAAGAAGCGTGGTCCCCCTACCTCTTCCAGTACACCCGCCAAGCGTGCCCGAAAGGGCGCCCGTCAGCCAACTTCATCGCCCTCCGAGGACGTTTCGGCAGCCGATGACGACGGCGACGATGACGAAGACTTTGGTGATCTGGGCGACAAGAAGGTCAAGGTCAAGAAGGAGGAACCGAGCTTCGAGCAAGGTTCTGGTTTCCTTGATAACGGTAGTGGTGGCGCAAGTTACGGTTTCCTCGCTGGCATTGAGACATTCGGTGGTGGTGGTGTTGGTGGAGGCAGGAGTGCAGCTACTGGGTACAGGAAGTCGGTCGCCTAAGACGTGGAGCGGGATGGGGGTGATTGAAGACTGGGAGGTGGGTGGAGGAGGAAGCCGAAAAGTTCGTGTAGTGCCTTAGAATAGGGTCTCAGTCAGGCGTTTAGCGGTATGGGTACAGCATCTGGTAGAGCATCCTGAGGCTGTGGCGACTACAAGTAGCATTTGCCTAGTACACGCTCCTGCGTATAGTGCGGCATAACTACTACTACATCATGAATAACTTGCTTCGATTTCACTCCGGTATATATAACCCTCGAGTAGTTCACAGACTTCTGCGTGATAGTTGGCAGTGCGAAACAGCATTAAGATCATCAGGCTCCTATATCATTCTTACAAGGTTGATTGACATGCGATACGCTAACTGACAGTACATAATTACAGCGCGAACGCTAAATCGACCGAAATCTGGTACCCCGTCCCATATGAATATATCCCATAAGCCTTACCAGCTCGACCGCTCTACGCCTTTTACCATATCTTAAACACTTCCCTGGACGACACCATCCACACTTATAGCGCAGAGATGGCCTCGAGTAACACATCCAGCGCCCGATCGCCGACTCCCTCCAAGCCTTCCCTCAGCGTCCAAGCAACGTCACTCTGCAGACCCAGCGGCACATAAACACCACCCTCATCCTTGTTGACCTCCATCCTCTCTCCCAGCCTACTAGTGTGCTCCCATTCCCTAGCCGCCTTCTCTGCATTCTCAATAACTTTGTTCGGAATGCCGCACATGGCTGCACAGTGCATACCAAAACTACCCTCAGCCACACCTTGTTCCAGTTTGTAGAGGAAGGTGATGGACTTGGACGCATCGTCGACGTGGATACGCATACGCTTGTTCTCGACTTCAGGGTGGAACTCGAATTCCTTGGCTAAAGATCGGTAGTGGGTGGCGAAGAAACCGACGCAGCCTACGCGTGAACTGATATCGTGTAAAACAGCTTGTGCAACCGCAACACCGTCGTAAGAAGACGTTCCACGACCAAGCTCGTCGAGGATGACAAGAGAGCGAGGTGTAGCTTCCGAAAGGATCTTCTGTGTTTCAGAGAGCTCAACAAAGAAGGTAGACTGGGCAGCAAAGATGTTGTCGTTGGCGCCGAGACGGGACATGATGCGATCGACTGGTGTGAGTCTGGCCGATGTACAAGGTAGGTAGCATCCCACTTGTGCGAGGATGACCGCGATACAAGTCATGCGAAGGATGGTAGATTTACCCGCTGCGTTTGCACCAGTGAGCAGACTGATGTTGGCAGAGTCGCCGCCTAGCCTGATATCGTTGGGGATGAAGTCGTCGACTGTATTGAGCATGCACGGGTGGCGGAGTTCTTCAAACTCAACGACAGTACGATTGCCATCTTCGAAAACAGGACGGCAGCTAGGCTCTCCGAGTGAAGCAGATGCTTTCGCAAGACTGATCAAGCAATCTAGCTGAGCAATGATCTTGACGGCCGCGAGCCACACTTTGTAGTCCTCGTCGAAGCGTTGGCAAAAGCGAGTAGCAACTTCACGGGTGATCTGGCCATGCGTCTCCTGTGCTTCTTGTAGTGCTCGTACTAGCTTTCGAAGCTCAGGTGTGTAGTATCGAGTAACCTTGGCAGTAGCTGACATTTGGTCCCAGCTATTGGGAACTTTGACCTTCTTGGGCACCTCCAGCTGGTAGATCTCCTTGCCGATGTCGTTGTATTGAACAGCGTTTGAGTTGAGCTCTTTTCGAACCTTCTTCAGCAGTACATCCAAGTTAGCTTTGCAAGTGTCAATCTCCTGCTGGCTGTTATCAAAGTCCTCTTCGATGCCGGGCTCGGGAATGAGAAGTCCTTCTTTCCGGGCGATGTCTCGATCAAAGGCTGAGTTCCATTTTTCCAGTGATGCAGCCAAATCAGGCATGGAGGAGATGAGTTGTCCGATAAGACCCTCGCCTTCGCCGAATTGCTTCAACAAGCTAATAGTATACTCGATCTGCTCAAAGCCTTCCAATACTTTGAGAAAGTCTTGCGCCCTACATCGGCCCGCATGTACGCGAGAGATGAGACGCTCAAGATCTGGCAATTTACTGAGAGACGCGCTGAAATTCTCCATGATGGTAGAGTCGGCGTTCAGTGCATCCACGGCGTCCAAACGTGCGTTGATCTTGGTCGCATCTGCAAGAGGGTGGCATACCCATTGCCTGAGTAATCGCTTGCCGAACGGAGTAATGCAGCGATTGAGCATGGCGAACAAAGTGCCTTCAGTTGATCCGTCGAATGTGTTGGCGAATATCTCCAGATTGATCAAGCTTTGACCATCAAGAACCAGACTGGTAGCCTTCCGTATGGGGTCGTACCATTGGAAGTTCCCAAGTGTGACAAGATCGCGCTCGATCATCAACGACCGCAGGTATTGTAGAAGAGCACCGAATGATGACATGACCAATTCTTGCTCTCGAGCTTCGCGGAGAACTAGCGGCCAAGCCTCGATATTGTCTTCTGTAGGTGACTCAAAATAGTTGTTCGCTTCCAATTCGCGAATGGTGATATCCGCTGGCCAAAATTCCTTGTTAGGCTTCAGGTAGTTCCAGATTGTTGTGGGTGGAGTATTGTTCTTGAGTATTCGTAGAACTTTCGCAGATATACAAGACTTTTCCAGGAGTAACTCGCCAGGTCTCATCTGCGCAATGAGGGTTTCGAACTTCGTCATATCGACATCGTCGGTGAACTCGCAGAGTTGGAATTGAGCAGTAGCAGTATCGACGAACGCTATTCCGAACGCTGGGAGATTATTACGGTCGATCTCCTTGATGGCCATACAGTATGTGGACATTTCGCTCTGAAGCATGCCTGTGTCCACAAGTGTACCGGATGTGAGTACTGTAGCGAGCTCTCTTCGAATCACTTTGTTTTCTTTGCCAGCTTTCTTCGGAGTTTTGCCCTTGTCGTCGCGTTCCCGCATCTCTTTGCCCAAAGCCGACTCCATCTGGTCGACTCTGGCAACTTTGTGTCCTGCCGCTACAAACTGTGTTGCCCACATGTCCAGGGAAGCTTCTGGTACACCCACCATCCTCATGTTGACCCGATCGGTCAGCTTGAGGTCGAAGAGCTGGTGGCCAATCGAGGCGTCCTTCTCGTACAGCTCGTAAAATTTGCCTTTCTTGAAGAAGACAACGGTGTCCCACCACTTGCTCTTGATCTCCCAGTACTGCGTTTCGAAAGCTGAGAACTTGCCCCAAGCACCTGGGGGGATATAAAGTGTACGGGGGTCGTAATCTGGGTGATCGGCCGGATGCCGATCAGCGTCCATTTGGTGCGCGAGCCATGGATATCTCGTCTCAGGTTCTGATGCGCTTGGTCGCTCTTTTATCTTTTTACTGGGGTCCTTCTTAGTCGCTTGTATGGACGTGCGGGGCTTGAAGACCATTGGGTTCTCGGGATCGTAGATCCATTGTTGTGCAGTCGACGTGCTAGTCATTGCAACATCTCCATCGTCTTCGTCGTCCTTTGCCTCGATTATAGGCGGTGATGATGCGGGAGCTGTCCTGACACGACTCTTAGGCGCTGCTGAACGTTTGCGTTTCTTCGATACAACCTCCTCGTCAGAATCATCTGCAACAACGAAGTCTTCCATATCGTCCTCGTCTTCTTCCTCAAGCATAGCCTTCTGTGTGGCCACGTCTAATCCGAACTCGTCGTCGGAATCGTCGTCGACAACGACCCGCTGGCGCTTCGTCGCTCTGCCTCTAGCATTGTTCGCAATTGGACCCAATACGTCCTCTTCTTCATCATCGGATTCGGCATAGTTGACCGGCTTTCGTGCCTGGGTAAAAACGTTAACGAGTGCGGTCAGAATGCACAATGGCACGTTGCACATACCTTGCGTGTTGGGCTACTGGGAGTGACATCTGCGGGCTCTGGTAGTA